TTGGTGGCATCATCGAGAAGGGTCTGGTGACTTACATGGCACTCGGGCTGGCCTTGCGCTATGTCCTTGAAGCCTTAAGGAAACCCTTTGGATCAAAAATGTACTACTTTGGGATTGCTGCATTAGATAGGTTTAAGAACAGGTATGCTCTAGTTTTATTTATAAATCTGCTGTTGATACACTTTTTTGGTCTTTGCAAGGTTTAACTTGCAGTTTGGTTTCTCTGACTAGGCTGAAGGACTATCCCCAGTATTGTCAGCACTTGGCTTCCATTGCTCACTTTGCTCAGTTTCCTCATCATTTACAGGAGGTAAATAGGTTTCTGTTATTACTGCTCTCACACAGTGACCTGGGGGTTGCTCCACAAAGCAGGATTTCTGAGATAGATGGGTTAACTTATGCTAGAAGTCATGATTTTTCCCTTTGGGATGGTCCTTACATCAACGCTTATTGGACAGTCATGACTTGTAGCTTGTTAACCCAGCTAACGGAGACATCCTGCTTCATGGAACATCCCCCTGGTCAAAACCACAGCTAACAGGTGAGATCGATTTAAGCTATCCTAAGCATTTAAGTCTCCTTTTTTCCGGTGAGATGTCGTACCTGTAAATAAATATTCCTTTCTGTGTTTTCTATATGCTGTGTGTGCAGTATATTGAGTATGGACAGCAGTCACGAGACCCTCCTGTGAAGATGCAAGGGTCTATCACAACCCCAGGCAGCCTCGCACTCGCCCAAGCCCAGGCTCAGTCGCAGGTTCCCCCTAAAGCTCCCATGCCAGGACAGGTCAACACCATAGTAACCACATCCACCACAACCACTGTTGCTAAAACCACTACCATCACCCGGCCCACTGCTGTTAACTTCAAGAAGGATGTGCCGGTCAGTATTCTTGATGTCTAGAGAATTTCTCTCTCTGTCTGTCTGTCTGACTATTTGCTTATAAACTGGTTTATAAACTACACTCATTCTTGAATGTTTTGCGTCAATTTTTTTGTGCACATTTTTAAATTGTCAGTTTGAATTTTATTTTTTCCTCCTTTCCTCAGCCTTCTATAAACACAACCAATATTGATACACTGCTGGTGGCAACAGATCAAACTGAGAGAATTGTTGAACCTCCAGAGAATGTCCAAGAAAAGATTGCTTTCATATTTAACAACTTGTCACAATCCAACATGACACAGAAGGTGAGATTTTCTGTACTAGGAATTCTGCATTATAGGACACATGTCTTTTTACAACTTCACCAGAATGAAACCACTAGTACTGTGCTGAAAGTGGAATTTTTTTCTATGAATAGAAGTGCATTTTCATTTTTTTTTCTGAACTAACTCTTATAAATGTTGGCTTCTGCTTTAAGGTTGAGGAATTGAAGGAGACTGTGAAGGAGGAGTTTATGCCTTGGGTTTCTCAGTACCTTGTCATGAAGAGGGTCAGCATCGAGCCAAACTTCCACAGCCTCTACTCAAACTTCTTGGATACTTTGAAGAATCCAGAATTTGCCAAAATGGTTCTTAACGAAACCTACAGAAACATCAAGGTGAGGTCAGGTTCTTATGCTCGTTTGATGGCTTGTCTTCTAATGCAGTTTAACTGATTTTTGCTGCTGTGCTTCTGCTCGGCAGGTTCTGTTGACATCCGATAAGGCAGCAGCTAATTTCTCTGACCGTTCTCTGCTGAAAAATTTGGGGCATTGGCTTGGAATGATCACTTTGGCCAAAAACAAACCTATCTTGTATACAGTGAGTAGATGTTTCTGCATGGAGATTTTGGAACAGGCTGTGTTATAAAACTCAATTTATTGTGTTGCTTTAAATTCCCTCCAAGCTGTTCCAGACTTCTGTAGTTATGTACTTGACAGGTTGCATAATCCCTTTTGGATTTAAATCGTTCAAGAAACTGTCTTACATGGAAACAAAACAAATGTGCAAGATGGCATCCTGAGGATTTGTATGTGAGAAATGTGACTGAATGTTGCCATTGTCTTGCTGTGCAGGACCTGGAGCTAAAGTCTCTCCTGCTTGAAGCCTATGTGAAAGGACAGCAGGAGTTACTCTATGTGGTCCCTTTTGTTGCCAAAGTGTTGGAATCAAGTTTGAGGAGCATGGTAATGTCCCCTGTGGTTTGCACATTGTACTGATTCTTAGCTACTCTTGCAGCTTGTGTATAAACTGCTTGAGTGCAAGTAATGTGGATTTGAAGTGCTGTCAATTTGTGCTATATTTACATAAATGCAGGAGTCAAAAATGGATTTCTCAGTTTTTGACTTTCTTCAATCTTTAGATTTTTCGACCCCAGAACCCATGGACTATGGCCATCATGAATGTACTGGCAGAACTTCACCAGGAACATGATCTGAAGGTTCTCTTCATATTCTTTAATTTTCATTGGTCCAGATATTTCCACTGGCCATTTTTTTTTACCAAACCAGTCTAGCCTTTTATCTCAGTAAGCACCCAAATATGGAACAAATATTTCAGTGTTTAATGACATTTCCTCTCTGTAGCTAAACTTGAAGTTTGAGATTGAGGTGTTGTGCAAGAACTTATCACTGGACATCAATGATCTAAAGCCTGGAAACCTGCTGAAGGACAAAGAAAAGCTGAAGAACTTGGAGGAGCAGCTGTCAGCACCAAAGAAAGAAGCCAAACCACCTGAAGAAATTCTGCCTATCGTCACGACAGGTGTGCTCTGCCTCACATTCTATCCACAGGCTCCTTCCTGCTCATTTATGTGCTTTTCTCTAGCACGCTATGTAAGGTTAATGGGGTACTGTGCTAAGACGACTGGTGATCCTCAATGGTGATATGCTTTATTTCAGCTGTAATAGATTAATCTCCTATAATGCTTTATTTGTTATTCCTAACGGGGGTAATAGTGCAAGTAGTTTTCTCTAAGTATTTGTGTGCTCTTCCATACTGGTATAATGCAGCTCATATGTTGTGTTAATACTTGCTGCTACCTTTTCTGACTCTGTACATTGCTAAGCTAATTAAAACATCAATTGAAATGCTGGAAATTGTCAAACACTTCGTCATTTTGCTAATCACAAAGGCATTCTTTAACCAACAGGAGACTTTATTCCGTTTACAGCTGCGCCTCCCACCTCTACAGCCACAGCCTGCACAGCCACTGGCCCCCCCACTCCACAGTTCAGTTACCATGACATTAATGTGTACTCGCTGGCTGGCCTAGCACCTCACATCAACATCAACATCACTGTAAGCTCCTCGGCAAATTTCACCTGACATTTATCATTCTGCTTTAGGGAAAAATTTACAGAAGCTCTTCAGATAACCAGCCCTTGAATATTTATGATTTATAGTTTTGCCATATAGTTGTGTGTTTAATTGGATTAATTTGACGGAGGTAAAGTAGACATTTTCACTACTGATGCTGATGGAATGTTCTAAGATGATCTAACCCCCCCCCCCAATTCCACAGATCCCACTTCTGCAAGCCCATCCCCAGCTGAAGCAGTGCGTTAGGCAGTCCATTGAGCGTGCGGTCCAGGAGCTCGTCCACCCTGTGGTGGACCGGTCCATCAAGATCGCCATGACGACCTGCGAGCAGATAGTTAGGAAGGACTTTGCCCTGGACTCTGAGGAGTCACGCATGAGAGTGGCGGCGCATCACATGATGCGTAATCTGACCGCGGGAATGGCCATGATCACCTGTAGGGAGCCGCTGCTCGTCAGCATCGCCAACAACCTTAAGAACAGCTTCGCTGCTGCCCTCAGGGTACGCTGCCCACCTTTCACAAGCCTTACTGCCACGTCCAGCGACCATCTGCTGACCCGTCTGCCCTCTCTGTCGCTGATCCCGCCAGGCTCCTACTCCACAGCAGAGGGAAATGATGGAGGAGGCTGCAGCCCGTATTGCGCAGGACAACTGCGAGCTGGCCTGCTGCTTCATCCAGAAGACCGCTGTGGAGAAGGCCGGCCCGGAGATGGACAAGCGGCTGGCCACTGTGAGTGTCAACATGGCTCTGTCTTGACGACATTAGATGCCTCTGTCAAAGTTCTGCTCTTTGTTTAAACCAAATACCACCCCCCACTCATGCCTCTAAACAGGAGTTTGAGCTGAGGAAGCATGCCCGACAGGAGGGCCGCCGTTACTGCGACCCTGTGGTACTGACATACCAAGCTGAGCGCATGCCTGAACAGATCCGCCTCAAGGTACACACACCTGTTGGGTTGATCTGGCAGAGAAGACTGCAGCCTTTCTACATGCCTCCTAATATTCATACCTGTATTAAAGGTCGGCGGTGTGGACCCTAAACAGCTAGCAGTTTATGAAGAGTTTGCCCGTAATGTTCCCGGTTTCTTACCCAGCAATGACCTCTCTCAGCCCACTGGCTTCCTTGCGCAGCCTATGAAGGTATGCAGTCTTCCCCATGTCGTCCGTGCTGGTGACCTTTGTCTGCTTACACAGGTACTGTACGCACCAGGCAGAGAATGAAGCTGTCATTTTTCGCATCTGTCCCCTTTTCAGCAACAAGCCTGGGCTACTGATGACGTGGCTCAAATCTATGACAAGTGCATCGCTGACCTGGAGCAGCACCTGCACGCCATTCCCCCGGCCCTGGCCATGAATCCACAGACACAGGCCCTACGCAGCCTGCTGGAGTCTGTGGTCCTGGCCAGAAACTCCAGGGATGGCATTGCTGCCCTCGGATTGCTCCAGAAGGTCAGGGACACCTTTTTTATTTTTTTTACTTTTTTTTTTTTTTTAAGGCTACTCTCATGTAACATCTACACTGTAGAAAACCAGTTAAGCGACGTATGTTTTGCGGGTTTACTGGTTGTAAACGAGCTGTCCGTCTCAGGCTGTGGAGGGCCTCCTGGATGCGACCAGCGCTGCTGATGCTGACCTCCTGCTGCGCTACAGGGAGTGTCACCTCCTGGTCCTGAAGGCCCTGCAGGACGGCCGCGCCTACGGCCCCCAGTGGTGCAACAAGCAGATCACCCGGTAGGAGCTCGCCGTCTGGGTGGTTGTTGCACTATTATTTAAGCCTCTTAAGTACCCTGACTGAAGAGGTTACGCTGTAGTGCCAAAACAAATCACACTTATGTAGGGCCCAGCGCTCCATGGCTGTGGCTCTTATAAAGGGTGAAACAGTTTGGATGCTCTGCAGGGTTTTGCTTTTCCTGACAGCACTGACTGAAGTTATTGGCCCAGTATGAGGATAGTTGCCCCCCCCCCCCAACTCAGTCATGTCATTGCTCTTCAGATGCCTGATAGAGTGCCGAGATGAGTACAAGTACAACGTGGAGGCCGTGGAGCTCCTGATCAGAAACCACCTGGTCAACATGCCACAGTACGACCTGCACCTCGCCCAGGTATGCTGCATTTCCCACATCTCGCAGGGAAAATGTGAACTAATTCCATATTTCTCAGGTTTTAGACCTTGTTTTGCGTTTTCAGTGTTGTGTTAATGTCTGCCTTTTGTGCAGTCCGAGAATCTTACTGGGGTCCATCTTGCTTGGTCCCTTGTTGTGTTCCCTGTATGTAGTGAGTTTGCTGTTGAGTGAGTGTGAGCTCTTGAACCCCGGATTCTCTCCATCTTTCCCCCCCAGTCGATGGAAAACGGGCTGCATTACATGGCAGTGGCGTTTGCCATGCAGCTGGTGAAACTGCTGCTGGTGGATGAGCGTAGTGTGAGCCACATCACGGAGGCTGACCTCTTCCACACCATCGAGACGCTGATGAGGACCAGTGCTCACTCCAGGGCCAACGCCCCTGAGGGGTAAGGCCACGGGATTTTTGTTAGGAGGGAGGGTCATTTTTAAATGGTCTTTTCAATGAATATAAAGATTCAATTTTTCCCACCCGAAAGTAAGGAACTGGAAGAAAAAGTGCAGAAAAGTCCCCCCCCCATATGTTTGTTGGCTAATCTTGTTCCTATTTCCCCACCATCCCAGGCTCCCCCAGCTTATGGAAGTGGTACGCTCCAACTATGAAGCCATGATGGATCGTGCACACGGAGGGCCCAACTTCATGATGCACTCTGGAATCTCCCAGGCATCAGAATATGATGACCCACCCGGGCTGAGGGAGAAGGCGGAGTACCTGCTGAGGGAGTGGGTCAGCCTGTACCACTCTGCTGCTGCAGGGCGTGACAGCACCAAGGCCTTCTCCGCCTTTGTGGGACAGGTACTCCCATGAGGCGTTCTGGGCGTGATGCTGACTTCATAAATAGATGTCACAGTCCGTTGACAGCATAAGAGGATAAAGAACTGGTTAAGGGCACTGGACCCTCAATCATTTGTTCAAGGGTTCTTGCGTGAGCAAGGTACTTTTGTTCCAGAAAATTCTTAAGTGAAGTTACTTTGGGGAAGAAGTATAATGTAACTGTAGTCATGCAGGTTGTCTGCTTTCAGATGCACCAGCAGGGGATCCTGAAGACCGACGACCTTATCACGCGCTTCTTCCGGCTCTGCACGGAGATGTGCGTGGAGATCAGCTACCGTGCTCAGGCTGAGCAGCAGCACAACCCAGCTGCCATCATACGCGCCAAGTGCTACCACAACCTGGACGCGTTCGTGCGCCTCATCGCCTTGCTGGTGAAGCACTCTGGGGAAGCTACCAACACGGTCACCAAGATAAATCTGCTCAACAAGGTGGGCGCAGACGGGAAACCGGCGGGCCTTGGCGTTCGCTGGTCAGGGGTTGGGCTTGAATTCTGGATTCGAGAATTGATTATACCAGTGTGTGTAAGCTAGATGTCCGCTACCAGTACAAAAATATTGTGAGGTTCCATGGTGGAAATGAAGCCTAAAGTTGATTTGGTCACGTCTAATTTTTCATTACTTCTATATGAGATTTTTAAAAGCGAAGACCCCTGATTGTAACTGCTGGCCCTGCAGGTTCTGGGTATAGTCGTGGGTGTCCTGATTCAAGACCACGACGTCCGTCAGACGGAGTTCCAGCAGCTGCCTTACCACCGCATCTTCATCATGCTTCTGCTGGAGCTGAATGCACCTGAGCATGTGCTGGAAACTATCAACTTCCAGACCCTGACTGCCTTCTGGTAAACACTGCTGACAGACCACCTGGGACAGTGTTCTCCAGCCCGCTCCTTGGGGACCACCAGTCACTCCACGTTTTTGTTCCTTCCAGTTCCATGGAGGGAGCAAAAAGGTGACCTGTCTGACATGGAGATGGGAGAGATCAGAAATGTGTGTGAATCGACTGGGGTCCCCGAGGACAGGGTTGGGAGACGACACTGCTTATGGAATATTTGGTGGGGCAGCTGGGATCTTTCTGTAGCCATGTGTGTTGTGCTTAACCTCTTGGTGTTGAATTCTGCTGTTCTCATTCCTAGTAACACGTTCCACATTTTGAGGCCCACCAAAGCTCCGGGGTTTGTGTATGCCTGGCTGGAGCTGATCTCTCACCGCATATTCATTGCCAGGATGCTGGCTCACACCCCGCAACAGAAGGCAAGGCTGCTGCCCAAATGCAGTTACATGTTCACTGCTTTTCTGAGATCTGTCCCACTTACGAGTTTCCCTTTTCACTGCAGGGTTGGCCCATGTATGCCCAGCTGCTGATTGACTTATTCAAGTATCTGGCTCCGTTCTTGAGGAATGTTGAGCTTAACAAACCTATGCAAATTCTCTACAAGGTAAACTTGGACAGTTTCTTTGGAATATCCAAAAGGTCCCCCCTCCTCTCGTTTGGGATGACACAAAATGTTTGTTTTTCAGGGCACTCTACGTGTGCTCCTGGTCCTTCTTCATGACTTCCCAGAATTCCTGTGTGATTATCACTATGGTTTCTGTGACGTTATACCACCAAACTGCATCCAGCTACGTAACCTGATCCTCAGTGCCTTTCCACGCAACATGAGGCTTCCTGATCCCTTCACTCCAAACCTGAAGGTACCTGCTCGTCTTGCTGTCCATTTTAGCTTCAACTAAAACCTCAGTTTTCCTTCGCCGAGATTAATTTTGGATTGAAATGGTATTGATAATGGGCCCCAATTAATAATGCATTATTGGAGAAGCAAACCTGCCTTGATGTCTTACTGACTCCCCTCCACCCTTTTCCTTAAAAGGTGGACATGCTAAGTGAAATCAATATTGCACCACGGATCCTCACTAATTTTACTGGAGTGATGCCATCTCAGTTTAAGAAGGATCTGGACTCTTACCTGAAGACGCGTTCCCCAGTCACATTTTTGTCGGAGCTCCGCAGCAACCTGCAGGTAGGGGGCGCCGTTGTGAAACCCTGGAAACATTTGCAGCGATTCTGCCAAATTTTTAGAATGTGGAAATTGTTCAGGTCTTTGAACAAACGGTGCCCGTGTTCCGCTGCTCAGTTATAGTGCATGTTACTGCAGTCATTAGATGTTGCCCCATTAAAGAAATATGCAGAAATTGAAAGTCTTATTCCACGGTGCCCTGAAGGGGGCGTGAAAGTGAACCTGTATGTGGGGATGGTGATCTGATGGCAGGTGCTGGTTCTGTAAAGACTAGTTTTCCTATAATGTTTCTACCTCCGGCATTAACTGCAATTTCTTTAAACGTTTCAGGTGTCAAATGAGCCAGGAAATCGCTACAATATCCAGCTAATTAATGCACTAGTGCTTTATGTGGGAACTCAAGCTATTGCCCATATCCACAACAAAGGCAGCACTCCTTCCATGAGCACCATCACCCACTCGGCACACATGGACATCTTCCAGAACCTGGCTGTGGACCTGGACACTGAGGGTGAGCTGCAGACAGCAAGGGCCTCATACTAATGTTTCAGCCATATGGTGTGCATCTCAAATCTAATCTGGAGTTGTCTTGTAGGTGGCGGTGATATTAGGCACTAATGCAACCTTCCCCTTGTGTTTTAGGCCGGTATCTTTTCCTCAACGCTATTGCCAATCAGCTGCGTTATCCTAACAGCCACACTCACTACTTCAGTTGCACCATGCTGTATCTGTTTGCTGAAGCCAACACAGAGGCCATCCAGGAGCAGATTACAAGGTAACGTGTTTCTTGACTGATTTCCTGATCCACGTGTGGTAGCCTGGTGAGTTCATGGTGTGCAAACGATGTTAGTGCTGCATTTATGGAAATCCATCTTAACAGAAGTTGTTATAGAAAATCTTCTATTCATTTTTCGTACTAAAGCAGATTTTATGGTGCATCGTGATCTGGCGTGTGCGTGCGATCATCCCCGGGGTTTTATATGATGGGCGTAAACATTTGTCCAGATGCCGACTTTTCAGTACCATACGGACGTTTACTTACGCCCACAATTTGGTAAGCAGATTAGTAGTGCGCCTAAAATATTAATGTGTGGCGTATGGTGACACCCAAAAGTTAGTAATCTGTATATATATTTGGTATATCCTTGTGTTTGTTCGGTTAGTGGATGACGCCACATGCTACTCTTTGGGTAAATCATGGAAGCGATTTATAAGCACCGAAGTGGCGGTGAAGAAAGGCACAGATCAGCAGCCATAGTACCTTTTAAAAGAGGAGATATTGTGGATAAACAAGGTAAAGACATCAGTGGTGGTACTTTTTTGCAGTTTCAAGTCCGACACATTTATTAAACATGATACGCTGAATTTATGCAGATTACTTTTGGGCATCTCATATTTTAGGTAGACTACTAATCTTCTTAACAAATTGTGTGCATAAGTAAACATCCTTATAGTACTGAAAAGCATCCAGACAGATCTTTACGCCCGTCATCTAAAGCCCTGGTGATTATTGCACTGGCATCATATAATTGCAGTGAGATATCATGCAGCCATACTGATCGGTTTCTTGTATATGTACCTGCCATTGCATCCTACTTCCTGTGAAAGGGAAATAAAATGGTGCTTGGAAAATGCAGTACACCAGTTATTTAAATGTACGTTAGGTGACTTGGCCACCTGTAGTTTTGGATTGTTTGCCCGGGATGAATATGCTTGATGCTTTGCAGCACTTCCTTGACCGACTCCTGATCAGGATGACTGGCATAAGAGGGCTAATGTGATGAACAAATCGTATGTTTCATAGGGTCCTGCTGGAGAGGCTGATTGTGAACCGGCCACATCCGTGGGGCCTGCTAATCACCTTCATAGAGCTCATCAAGAACCCAGCCTTCAAGTTTTGGAACCATGACTTTGTGCACTGTGCACCAGAGATAGAGAAGTAAGCTTCATTTTCTGTCTCAGTTGTAGACATACGGGGTTTCCAACAAACTTCCCAGACTTACTCATGCTCAAATACACATCACTTCCTTTAAGCAGAATAGTTTTAGGTTATATTAAACCAGCATCTTAGGGCGTAGTCACACTTGGCGCCTGGTTGCCACGTACCATTCCCGAGCCCCCCCCTCCCCCGGCACTCAAATTGCACTTAACAATCCTGGCCTGAGCACACTCTCATCATCACTGTGTGACTTTTTGTGTTGACGAAAACATAGGAAGGAAAGCACTATGGCACAGTAGATTGGGATTCATAATTAATGTCCTTATTTTGTGGCTTATTTGAGTTGTTTTTGGGCACGATGACACACAGATCTATCAAGTATGCAACTCACTGATTGATTATTCGTGCTGCACGTATAAGAAGATAGTCCCACATTTTGCACACTTGTTGCATTGGGACACCGTTACTGAAAAGGTACCATGGTACTGCATTTTTGAAAGCTGTTTGGTACTAGATTTCTTTAGTACTGGTATCATTACACCATTAAGGACATCGCTAATGCTATATATCGCTAACACTAACTATCGAATCGGAAACATGGACTCGGTTTGAACCATTGCTGAAACTGTTATTCCGTATGTCAGAATTGCTTGCTTCATACTACATCGAATACTAAAATGTCACACTAGTTATACGATCTCCCGAGCTTTAACTCTGATTTATGTAAAGGATCTTAGAATATAGCAAGATCTTTTAGCAAACGGGCTACTTTCACATCAAATTAGCATCTGTACCTATTAGTTATTGTATTATGCTGTTTTAATGCAGTGCGTGGGAAGCAGGCAAAACTGCATCATCTTTTTTTTTTCTCCTCCCCACAAAACCGCCTTGTGAAAAGACGCACACAGCAGTCTGTACAGCCTACCTGATCCATTTCTTCAGGTTTCAGTTCGTTACAGTGTACATGTTCACATGTGTGTCAGTCGCATCATTGACGTGAAGTCTGTGTTCGGACCTGGCCCGAGGCCGACTAACCGTGCTCCGACCCACCTCCCCAAGAGGGCCAGGGTTGGTTAAGCATACTACGATCACACTAGTCAAACGTATTAAACTTTTGGGGGTAAAACGTGCTCAGAAATTGTACGGATCTGCTGGTGTGAGTACAGCCTTGGTTTCTTATTGACCCTAAGTAGCTGGATTATGGTGTGAAATTTGATGGCAGTTGATCCTTAGTGAAATGCTCTGTCATGCTTCAGAACTTTCCTCAGCTTCTTTTCTCTACCCAAACAGACTCTTCCAGTCAGTTGCACAGTGCTGCATGGGACAAAAACAAGCACAGCAAGTGATGGAGGGCACTGGTGCCAGTTAGGCGGCGTGGCTCTCGGGCTTCAGCCCCCGTTTCCTCCTCCAAGCAGCCCACTGTGTGCAGCAGCCTATCCCCAGTACTGGACAATGCTGTGGCCCTGGACAGCCCTGGCAAGGATGTTGGACACATTTGCCAGAGCTTCATCTTGTGGATATTATATATAATTGTTTTTTGTTAACCAGGAGATAAATTTAATTGGACATGCTGTGAATATAATTTTGAAGATAATGTAAATAAGAAGGGATTGCAGTTACTCAAACTGGATGAAAGCAGAGATAATTATGAGGACGAGTAGCAATGCATAAGGCAGCTTCTGGTAGTTTATGAAACAGTCCACCAGGTTAAACGTGCCCCCACCCACCGACCCGCCCTGAGGATTTGTTTTGCCTTCAGGATAATTTGTTTCCCCTAATGATTTTGTGTTCTGTTCTGATCTAATAGTGACTGCTTCAATTCATTCTAGTTTTTTGTTTAAAGGGGATAAATTGTAATTGGAATAATTTGGAGGAGGGGTTGATGGAGAATAGTCTGTATTCCTGCAAGGAGAGGTTTTCCCAGACTAACTGATGGGGTGGTGAATGGTTGTAATTTCAAAGATGGGGTAAAAATTCTTCCTGATGCTTGTAACATTGAAAACAAGTTTCAGATTAGCAATATGCAGCTTTTGTTTGTATAAAGATCCAAAATTACAAAATGACAACAAGAAAGGACCAATGCAGCCCATTTTGTAAGGTTTTTGAATGTTTTGTAAATGTATTGGTCCATGTGTTGTATTTTGTAGTACTTCATAGTTTTGCCTTTAGTTCCTGCCACTTATTTCCTGTATGTATGCATATTGTAGTTAATACATTAAAGTCTTCAACTGCACTGTTGTCTCCGATGTCATGCATTTAGTGTGCATGGTGTATTAAACACTTGCAGGGGTTTGAGACAAATGGGAGATGACCATTACTTGAATTTAATTTGTGTCTTCCCCCTCCCCCCTCCTCCTTTTATGTTTTTGCCCTGAAGTATATTGTCAGTGATTTATTGTATTTTAATTCAAGTGCTTTATTCAACTTCAGTTAGATGGCAAGATAATGCCATGTGCAGGAGAGAAGAGCTGTCTTCAGTGGTCTGTTGGACTATTTTTAGAACTGTATATTTGTTTAAAAAAAGATTCAATAAACGCATGTTTTGAAGAACTTAGTGCTGATGGTCCTGTTAACTTTAGCAGAACTTCATGTATGGTTGCTTCAGATTTTTTAATCTCTATGATGGAGGTTATGATGTAAAGCAGAAGTTCAGGTCTGTGTCATTCGCAGAAGCTGGTGCAGGATCACCTTCTGTCCATAGCGCACCTGTAGTGCACACTTCTGCCTGCAGCTCAGCTGGCCATAAGCCCCCTCGTCATCCATGACCGCTTTGTCAGCCTCCAGGTCCCCAGCAAACGAGTCCAAGGTGATGCGAGCGGCACCATGGACCAGCTGCTTCCAGGCAGGCTTGAGTTTGGAGATACCCTCTTCGGAGAACGCCAGGGCCATCTTTTCTGGCTCGTCTTCCACCTCCTCCCAGGCCTCGCTCGCTCTGAGCTCTTCAAACTCCTCAGCGGACAGGCAGAGGACCTAGGCGTAAATAAAGCCTTTTTCTTAATTGTTGACTTCACTGAAAAGATTGGTGTTTATATATCTGTAATGAGTTGGCTGGGTGAGGAAGGGTATCATGGCAAACCCCCCTACCCTCTGCAAATGTAGTGTATGGAATGTAATCTAGGTACTTAAGGTATTATTTGACCTTCGCTGCTTAAAAATCTGATCTCCACCAATCACTTGAACCACTAGAGAATTTCTTCACCCTTCCGAATTACACAATAGTTGAAAACCAGCAAACTGCACTCAGAGAAGCAGACGTCCATACCTTCAGCGTAGCATAGAGCTCCGTGTCCGTGAGTGAGCCCGTTTGACTGAAGATGAACACGCCCTTGTCTCCCACCATCTCCATCTCACACAGAAGCTCCCACTTCTCCACCAGTAAACGCTTCTCAGATTCACTCTGACTCCCTGTGGTTCCCAGAGATGGAAATATGATACCACCATACCAACTGTCCTGAATATGACCATAACACAATCTAAGTATGACTACAGAGAATGAGGTTAGACTCTCGCATTCACACGTGACCAGTCAACTCACCTTGCAGAGCTGCCTTATAGACACTGGTCATCTGTATGTCTGCTGTGTCATTTGTGTTGCTGGGATACGGCTCAATGAATCCATACATATGCAGGAGTTGCCAGTTGGCCATCTGTCCATAGGTGTTAAAAACCTCCTCTCCTGCTCTAATGCAGCACACTGACACCATCTTCAAGGCCTCCTGAAAAGGCAGGACCATCATCTTCAACTTATCCAATTTAGTCCTGACCGTGGACCGACACAAAAAAACAACACAAATTTATTCTTAACGGGTCATATTTCTTACAGGCGAGTATTCCAGGTTGGTGTTGTGGTTGGATGTATGGTTCAGCATGTCACCCATGGGGACCATCATGGGAGGATTAGGATCAGCTTCATCATCTTCATCATCCTCAACAGGCTCCTGAAAACTGCAAGGATGCTGTGATTTGATATGATTACCTAAAGCACTGTGAGAGCCCCCCAGCACTGTTTTTCCATCAGTTGACGAAATCACTGTAAGGAATCACAGGTTATCACAAGTACAAGTAAACCCCAAAAATTAAAAAAAAAAATACAAATTTGTAACCCTGAGAAAATAAAGATACGTGAGTCACAAAATCAACTAATGCAGAGAGGTGTCCTGGAAGAAACAGCCTCGCACATTTATGTGAGGCACCAGTCTTACCTGTGCATGTGGTTTGCAGAAATCACTCGATCATGGGAGAGTCAAGCCATGTGATGCAACTTAACATCAGAGATTCTGTGACCACATGCTAGTTGCCCTCCAGTGACAAAAGGTCAGAAACATACCTGTTTCCCCAAAATATTTTTTGTATCAGGAAAGGTCAATGACTGTTTTTTCCCTGATCACCGTGGAACTTAAAATATACTGAATTTGTTATGTTATGGCCAGTGTTGGGGAAGTTACTCACAAAAGTAATTAATTACAGACAGAAGTTCAGGTCCGGAAAGTGCAAAAAAATAAAACCAAGGTTTTGTTTCAACCAACCAATTGAGTATAAAGAGTCACAGAGTACTCAGCTGGTTGGTTGAAACAAAACCTTGGTCTGATTTTTTTGTACTTTCTGGACCTGAATGTTCCACCTCTGTCAGTAATGGATTACTTTTGCTAGTAATTTCCCCAGAAACACTGGTTATAGCTGAGATGCCCACCCTTGACACTGATGAAAAGCAATAATTATCTTTTAAAATGAAGGTGTAATGTGAAACTGTGATCATTGACCTGTCTGAAGGTGATCATTTCTGTTTGTAGAGGTTTGTTTTGTGATTTTGATTAATGTGCCATTTTCCTACCAACCCTCTCACCTGTAGGCCATGACAAAAGCCACCAGACTCTTGTAGAGCTCAAAATTGTGCTTCTCCGGATTCCAAAGATCAGGGTGCGAGCGGATGAAGGGCAGGACGATGTCGGTGTACTCATTCTGGATGTTGGCGAGGTCGGTGTCCACTGCCTCTGGAACTCCTGTTCCCTGAAGCAGGCTGTCCCTCTCACCCTTAGACCTTCACCAGGAAACATTGCATCACAAATAACAAAACAATTAAGGGCAAATATTATATTTCATTACTCTACCATGAGACGTTACCAAGAGAAGCTTGAAACATTGGAAGGATACCAGGATCATTTTTAAACAAATACAATCATCTACACCAAAAATGCATGTATGCGGAGCAGTGACTTAATCGGGTACGCCTGCTTATTGATGCAAACAGCCAACTCCTACAAACAGCGAATCGCGTTACAGCAACTAAATACATACAGCATGCAGAACGGCTCAAGAAGTCCGGTTACTGTGTGTATAAGCCTTAGAATGGCGGTGATGCAGGACCTAAGCGATTCTGAATGTGGTGCCAGACGTGATGGTTCCAGCATCCCAGAAACAGCCACAAACCTAGGATTTTAATGCGCTACAGAACTGTGTAATGAACAGAAAACGTCAAGAACACAAGAGAAACCTGAGCCTGTTAATAAGAGGTCAGAGGAGATTGCCCACATTTGCTAAAGGCCACAAAACCAAAATTAACAGCTCAGTCCACAACAGTGTGCAGAATGGCTTTTCTGCACATACTTCATCTACCGCTGAAGTCGTTCGTAGACCCACTCTTGCCTACTAGCTTATAGATCTAGTGGCCACTGCCTGTGTTCGATTACTTTAGTATGTATGATTACATTAGTATATTTACTATATATAGGTATACCAAAACAATGCTTACCAGAACATGGGATGGTCCAGCATCTTAAAATCAGGCCAAAGAGCTAAGTAAGATCTCCAGTAGGACTCTGGAGTTGTATACTCCAACATCAGAGCCAAGAGAAGGGGTACCCAGCCAGAACTGCTTTCCAGGGAGTCTTTACCTGAAGCAAGTTGTAAACAAAGTCAGTGTGAGGGCAGATATCCGTTCTCATTCATCATGGTTTCATCCATCCATCCTCCAACCACTTATCCTGGTCAGTGTTGTTGGGGGGGGCACAAGGAAGGGGGCACACGGAAGGACAAGGAAGGGGTACATCCGGTACAAGATGCCAGTCCAACACAGGGCACCAACTGCACGGGCACACATTCACAGTCATACATTATGACCAATTTAGACATGTCAAATATCCTAACTGCATGTCTCTAAAAGAATCCAGAGTACCTGAAGGAAACCCACTCGACGCGGGCAGAACAGGAGGCAAGGGGCTCTACCTACTGAACCACAGTGCCACCCAATCGCAGTGTAATCCAAAATAAAACATGGAAGTACATTTCAGTGTGAGCTGACCTCTCCAACTTACCTTCCTCTAACACAGTTTTGACTTTAGTGGTGCTCTGAGACAGAACAGCTCTCCTGGGAATGACGAAGAGGGTCTCTCCTTCCTCGATGTCATCCTTGGCCAGCATGCCATACTCAGCCACAGTGCCTTCCTTACTTAAACAGACCTGGGTGCAGGGAAATCCAGAACATGTGATCAAATCCAAAGCTAACATCAGTAGCACGATGAACATGGAGAATTAGTGCAAATCCATAATAAAGTTGTTCTCAATAAACTAACACTTACTGAGTAATTAGTAATGTGCGTACATCGTTTTCTATCAATCTTACCTTATCGCTCAGTGTTATCCCCACTGTTTCACACCAGGAGAGAAAGTTCCTGAGTGGTAGATCTGCAGAATTATCTATAGTCTGGCTACTGTCCCTCTGCAACACAAAATATTAGTTTTATTTAATATAAATTCACCAAATTAGGTCTGAAACGTGACCTTAGGGCAAGATTACACTGCCTTGAGTTTGGCCTAATATTCAACCCTTGTATGGGTACATTTGAAGGGGGTGATCGAAAGATATTTGAACCATGGGCGTCGTTACATCCCGACTATTTTAGCCCTAGTTAAGCCCCAGGTAAACTTGAAACCCGGATTTTTTCAATAGCTAGAAGCGCCCCTGATTTGGACTGAACTTATTTTTTACTGCAAATGACCTGTTTTAATCCTGACGTTTTCTATATGATTTTATTTTTATTGCCACGATAGGTGGCTCTGTTGTTGGGTCCCTAATAATCTGGGTATTTACGGGTACCATTGAATAAGCGTATTAAAGCAGGTAGTTAAATCCGGCGGTTAATCCATCCATTAATTTTTCAGATGCGCTTATCTAATGGAGTGTCAGTGTCCTAAACTACACGTATTTGTGCAAGAAAAATCGAGTAGTAAATCAACGCGAATAATCAAGTTAAATCTAAAAAGCAACCAATTGACTGTCCCGCTTAAATATATCAGGCATATTACTGAATTGACAATACGTTTATTCATAACGGTTAATTAAACTAGGAAACGATTAAGGTACAGATTAGACAAATCATACACATTTCAGCTGCCTCAGTACAATTTAAGTTCGCAATGAAACGGTCGTAAAGCCGGATTATTTTTGTATGTAATAATATGTAAACAAAAGTCGTTTTCAAACCTTCAGTCTTTTTGCATCGGATGCCATATTCCATAAAGTAACATTACATCAGTATTAGACAATCTGCATTTGTTCACAAAAGTCACTTTCACAAACCACGTGGCTCTTACGCGTAATATATCTGCGCCATTCTGCCTGTAGGGGAAAAGGACCTGTGTCCCTCGTTGATGACGCAATGTACAGTTGCGTTTCATTTCTGTGTGTAGTGGTAAATGATGTTTTGTAACGTTTTGTAACCGTAGACGGTAAGTTTTGTGTCAGGGCTACTTTTATGGCAAAATTATTTGCAAATGTGTATGGAGAGCTGTGTGACTATCTCAATCAGTGTGTGCATAATCAGATTTGTAAATGTATAGAAGAATTTGTAAATGCGTACTGAGATTTGCAGCTGTGTATAGGAATCTGTAAATGTGTATTCAGTTTCGTATGCGTATTTCGTATTGTAATATGTTTCGATTAACATAACCATTATCTAGGCTATTGAACACACATTCTTACCAACACGGTTTAATTTTGCGTTCAGACATATAGGCCTAATTCAGCATATTAGACAAAACAGTACACCTCCGAAGTTAAAATTTTCACAAATTTTGAGTTTCGGCGGTTATGATTAGAAGTCGAAATGTTATCATATAGCATCCAATATAATGCGTTACAGATTCTAACTGTTTGCTCTTGGACAGGACGTATTAGCGTAGATATATCTTAGTACCGAAAGGGACAGCCCTAAGCCCTCACAACCTCCACAGACAGACAAATCCCCACACGCATTTGCAGATCTGCTGCGGCAGAAGTGTAGCAAAAATAACGCTTAAAAAGACAGCCAATTCAGAAGTCCGCCTAAGTTGTAACTGATGACTTGTCTGTATTTACAGATAGAGAGCAAAATACTGTACCCTTGTTATTGTTATTAGTTATGATTAATACTTGTGTTCCTGATTGTGGCGTGTATGTTTGCCCGTGTCTTACGTGCGCTCTGTTCGATCCTCGCATGTCTATTCCATTATGTAAGTTACCCACCGAGCGTGTACCTGACCGTCCAGTGTCTGACCCCACTGTGTTTTCGTACTGTGTTGGTGCCTGCTAGACTAAAGAGAAGGAGCGTGTTCTCCCCGGCAAGGAAGTCTCTTCGTCCTACGCTACGCTCGTGAAGTCTCGGTCCTCCCGGCGCTACAATACTTAGATTTTTTACCTATTAATACTTACGTACACATTTACAGATTTGTTCACACACATGCAAATCTCAGTACATTTGCAAATCATTACGCATACGAATCTGACATTTACAGATTCCATTTCCCTGCACAAATTCTTTTTTTTGCACATTTACAAACGCACAAACGGATTGAGATAGTCACACAGCTCTCCATACACATTTGAACCGTATGTTTAAACTTTAAACAGAAGCATACGGTTTGACGTTCATTTCAGAAAACTGATGTGAACATCTGTTGGCGTGAAAATATAACATTAAAGCCTAACATAATATTTTTGTACTGACTTTTATGGTTTTAATGTTAAGCGTAACTTTAGAATTTTTCTGCATTATCAGGCCTTAAATTTATAATTAAACTAATGCTTGACAAATCTTGCTGCAATGACACGACCCCCAAATCGGGAATTCTGGAATTAAGGAAAATTCCGAGTTTTCCACGGGTAAATACCACTTTGTAGTGGCCTTCATGTGCTCTCATCTCGTACTTATAATTTTTTCGACATGACTTGAGGGCAGGGTTATACCACTGCCTGACGTTAATTTAACTATTTTGCTTGTTAAATCGGTTTGTAACTTTTTTCCAAGCTATAAAATGATCTCATTATTATTATTATCATTATTATTTGCTCGTAACTCATTGTTCTTCTGAAATACATTTAAGATAAAAGACACTGATCTAAGAAGATTTTGTATTGTTTTTGACTTCCTCTTGAACAGAGTTTTAGTCTACTCTGGTCATCTTCCATTTCATTTAAATGTAAACACAAAGGTTTGTCGAATACAGCACACATGCTTTATTGGGATGAGTCAGGCTTGGTATGCAGCCAATGGCTTCCATGACGTCTTCAGCCTGTCTTGTCTCCCCTTAGCCTGACTCCCAGCTTGTAGGGTTTCGGTGACAGCGTCACACCCCACACAGGGCTGAGGTCTGGCACCCCGGCATCCTCAGGCCAAACAAACTGGTAACGGCGTAACAGAGTCACCAGAAAGAGGAACAGCTCCATACGGGCCAGGCTTTCCCCCAGACAAACACGAGGCCCTGTCATACACATCATACACACCTCCATAAGGCCAGGAACCTGAAGCATTTCAGGGTATAAAACCATTATGGTTTTCTGGATGAACACATCACTGTTAAACTACAAACTGTACTTGAATTCAGGGCATTATTAAACATTCTTACCCACAGAGAAGGGCATGAAGGCCTCAGGCTTCACAAACTCGCCCTGCTCATTCAGGAAGTTGGTGGGGTTGAAGTCATGGGGGAACTTCCACTGGCCCTCCTCATGCAGGACAGTGGAAAGGTTCTGAATAATGAGGGTTCCCTGCAGCAGGTCCAGAAGGTGAGAGACAGGGCGAATGCAGAGGACAAGGTGTTTTGGTTAATTCTACCAAAGGCAAATGCAGACGGATAAACTTTATTAATCCCAGAGGAGAAATGAAGGTTCAAAAAGCAGTCAAAGGCAATCAATAAATCAATAGGGGGTATGTTTCCCAAAAGCTGCTGTTAGCAAAGTACATAGTTGGAACCATTCAGTTGCATGAATCCAACTATGTATGTTGCTAACAACTATACTTTTGGGAAATGTGCCCATGAATTGTTAACGTGCATGGAGCCTCACCTTAGGGATGTTGTAGCCCATAAGCTGGGTGTCTTTGGTAGTAGAATGAAAGACACTGAAGGGAACCATGCTGGAGAGACGCTGAGCTTCATGGATCGTGGCCTGTATGTAGGGCATCTCGTGTCTGTCCTCATAAGACACAATGGTTTTGTCCCCAAGCACAGTATCAATCTCCTGCTGACACCTTGCTGGTAAATACAAGCAGACATACAGGTGTGCACCAGGAGAGACACCAAATCGGAAGTATACTCTCTTATTTCTTAAATCTGTCATGACACAAATAAAAAGGTATTAAGAAATTCACATCTGCTTATTTACCCTGAACCTCTGGATAGGTCATAAGGTACAGCAAAGCAAACAGCATAGTGTTGGAGGTGGTGTCTGTCCCAGCGATGTAGATGTCCAGAATGTAGATTATTAATTGGTCTTCACAGAAAGGAGATCCATTGTCACCTCTCTGAGAAGAGAACAAATGTGCCATGGAAAATGCTAAATTAAGTGAGTCCTTGTTAACACCAGTGAGTTTGTGTTTTTGAATGACTCCGATCCTTAATTTGGAGGTGCGGATCTTAATGCCTTGTTGCGCTAAAGTATAAAGAACTTATTCTCTCAGTGTACAAGGGAGTGCAGTTCGTTTAGAGAGGACTGTGACGCTGAAAGGTTTTGCTCGGGAGTTGGATGTGGCTGACAGCGATGTAATTCTTACTGTCATAAGTAAGTAATACTATCAAACCCTCTGACGGATGATATTGTAAGGAACTTAAAAAACCTTTTCTATTTCATCCAAATAGCAGTCAATTAAATCCCGTGGCTCTCCGGGGTCACGCGTGCTTTTGTGTTGAGCAATCATGTCTGCAGCCATCTTCTTTAACACCGCAGTGTTCTGAAAAGCCTTTTGGAAAGGCAGTGGGAGGCTGCGGACCAGGGGAAGAGCATCGTAGATCTGTGGTTGAAACAGTGAAGTTGAAACAGTGACTTGTATGAAAGATTCATATCATGTATTGAAAATGAGACAAATTGAGCTACTGAGAATGAGCTAATTCTATATGGTTACCATAGCCCATGGTCCATTGAAAATTTTGGCATTTCCTGTGAACATACGAATAATATCCTGAAGATATTTGTCGTCATGATCATATCGAATTCCAAAAATGATGGAACAAATTATGTTGGAAGCAGCTTTGTGGAATAGAGTCTGTGGGCTCATGGACTGTCCTGCCAAAGACAACAAGGTGATTTACTCATTCTTCATTTTGTGGTGTTCAGAGATCATGTGGCGTGTTCTGTGTACGTTACATGATTCACTGCTGGGCCCAAAGATGGGTTCATAGATCAAGATACCTTGTCACAGATCAAATGTAGTGAACAGAACAAATTACTTTGCAAGTTGACGAGTTTATATGCATTTGCTGGTAGGCATGAAAAAGAGATTATCCTCACCAACACTTCTGTCCAAACATGTAATAACATACGAAATTTCATCCAGGATCCTCTCTTCCATTGACTTTTTCCCCAAACCAAAGTTCCTGAGGGTCATGAGAGCAAAACGTCTGTGTTCCCTCCAGCTGGGACCATAGTCAGCCAGTATGACCCCTACAAGAATTAACTAATGTTATCAGCAGTCACTAGAAGCGGAGTGGAGTGTCCTTTTCTGTAATTCAGTTGGTCGTGCCTGTTACCTTTTCCCTCGGTGATGTGACTGACCATGAGACCTTGGGGTCTGCCTGCAAAATCCACAGACTTGGTGACCATTGCTTCTTTCATTGCCTGCAGGCCATTTAATACCACAGCAGGCCTTCCTCCCAAATATAAAGAAAAAACCTTCCCGTATTGCGCTGACAGCTGCACAAAGAGACAAACGTATATTACCTTCAGGTAAACATGTAATGGAAATTCTCTCTTGAATAACTGAACCATCTTGGTGATCCTACATACTCCCTTAACAGGAGGCCTGGAAATCAAACCCACAACCTTCCAAATATGGGCACAGAGCTACATGCCTACCGCTAACTCAGAAGGCAATTTAGAATCCCAAGCCCATCTGAGTTGGATTCCAATGGCTGGAAACCAATGTAATGAGGATAAAAGAATGAAATAAATTCAAAATATTTGCATAATTTTATAATTAAAAATGCTGATTGTATTTAAAAGTACTTCTGTAGGTCACATATGAAAACGTGGCATATTTCTTAACATTTTAATACGCGATTAAACCAGTGCAACTTTATATTCTGAGCAGTTTAATTAAAAGTTAACATGCATATTAGTTGCACATTAGCTAAAAATGCCTCTCAACTCTACCTTCTTCAGGTCCTCAATGGGATTATCCAAGGTTAACTGTAGCAGATTCCCAAAGAGTGGTATAGGGCGTGGACCTGGGGGGAAGTTTTTGGGCCTCTGAGACCTGTAGAGGAAGAAAAGCAGGAAGAATCCGATCCAAAGCAGGAGCAGAGTGCCAACCATGATGACTGTTACCTGACTGCTGTCTGCAACCTCATTAAATACAGAGTCATTCTCTCCTCCCACTGCCCTTTGTATCATAAGTGAAAAGCTGCTGTGCATACATGCCAGACCAGACAAGCAAACATTATCGCAAACTGAAGGTCGTTTTATACAACAACAGAACCATTAAATGTGAACAGTGAGTATGAGAATCTCCAAATCTGAGGCTAAGGTACTGTCTTGGAAATGAGGAGATTGGCCATCCCAGGTGGGAAGGGGGGTGGGGGGTGGAATCTGCCCTTAGTGAGCGAGTCTATGTGCCCTGGATCTTTTTCATGAGTGATAGTGAGGAGAAACATGAGATTGGCAGGAAGATCAGCAGCTGAAGGTTTGCGAGCACTTAGCAGGTCCAGGGTCAGTGAAGCAGGAGCTCCGTGGTGAGGTGAGACTCATGGTCTATCAGTCATTCCATGTCCCTATCCTCACCAATGTCCACGAGATCTGGAGAATGACCAGAAAAAATGTCATCAGCACAAGCAGCTAAAATGAGACTTCTTTGCAGGGTTGCCAGGTGCAGTGTGAGTTAAGAGATCCAGAGGGACCTTGAAATATATCTGCCGCTCCTTCAGATTGTGAAGAGTTCACTGAGGTGGTGCAGGTGTCTTAAATAGATGCCAACCGGTTGGCACATCCCACTTGGAAGAGGCCCTGGGGCAGACCCAAGACTCGCCAGAGGAATTGTATCTCCTTGATGTTTTATGAATGCCACAGGACCCCCTGAACGACCTCGAGTCCAGGTGACCAGTTTGATGATGCTACCACTGCGACCCTCACCAGGAGAACCAGTTATGAAGATGATGATAATGACAGCAGCTTTCGCATAAAAAAAATTACAAAAGTTGTTTATTAATTTTTAAATTGGATTGACCGCTTTAGAAATGACAAAACTGCAGTGATTTTTATACCACTAGGGGGAAACAATCCCGATCAGTTCTCTGTATAATGCATGTAATATTTAATAGTAAATCTTAATGTAAAAACTAATTATGTTATCTTGTCATAAGCAGATAAAATAATTATATGCAAGTGAAGATGAAAAATAGGCATTCCATTTCTGGAATGTCTGTGGTGTAGAATATTTCACCAAGAGAATTTGTTGTGAGACAGTGTTACAGCGTGTGGTCTGGTGGGGCAGTGGTGAGCACCGTGGCCTCACACCTCTGGGACCAGGGTTTGAGTCTCCATTATCTCTCCATGTGTTTGGAGTTTGCATGTTCTCACCTTGTCATCATGGGGTTTCCTCTGGGTCCTCTGGTTTCCTCCCACAGTCCGAAAACACGTTCCTACATGTGAGTGAATGGTGTGTGAGTGTGCCCTGCGATGGGCTCACACCCCATCCGGGGTTGTTCCTGCCTCGCACCCATAGGCTCCAGACCGCCCACAACCCTGCATAGGACAAGTGGTTACAGAAGATGGACAGAATGTCATGCAGAAATGATGCATTATTTTGTTGGGTCAGCAAGGATCTAGTTACAGTAATAGATTCTGATGGGTTTGGTAACGCTACACAAAGGTCTGGATAAAACAAGCTTCTGTCTGTTTGGAGAAGATAAATAGAGTGATTCCAGAATTCCCCGTCCTGCATTAATCCTCCTCATGCTGATTCACTGGAGCTGAAAGAGCGGGTGGTGTAATTCACGTGAAGGGGGGGTGAGCATGAAGGGGGGGGGTGAGCATGAAGGGGGGGTGAGCATCCTCCCACCCTGCCTCCTCTCCCAGGGACCACCTGCAATGCGCAGGGGCTAAGCCACAGTTGCCCTTTTGTGTCTGAAACAATGTGCCCCCCCAACCCCGTACCCTCTTCGTCCTAGGAGCAGGTGGGAGGGGCACTGTGGGAGCCACTCATTGTGCATTCATGGCATATGTCTGTCACTCCGTAGTAAGCCAAAATGCCCCCCCTCCCCCCCATGCACTGACCGCCCATTAATGAGACAAGTGTGAGGAAAATAAGAGGTCGTTCTTTAGTGACGGGGTTAAGCACATGTCGGCATGGGTGGCGCTTGTGAGCTGCGTGACCCAGCCAGCGTCAGCCTCGGGGTGTCCCACCAAGCATAACACCCCCGTCCCTTCATGTGACCTTCCACCGTCTCCCATGTCTTTTTAAGGGGTGGGGGGGGGGGGCTGCTCAGGTGCTGTGCAGTTCACACATTTAATTTCATTCAGTTCCACTTACAGAATGGTGAGAATATTAAGATCACAGCCCTATTCAGAGGGGATTAGCTTTACCTGAGGACATAATGTAGCCCAATTGAAGCAATTACCGATGAGGTCCGTAATCTAAATGCATTCTGAATCTGGCAAGTCTGCAATCAGGGGTGCCGTAAAAGGAGGGGGGACTTAGGTTCTAAACGATTCTAAATTTGTAAGATAACTGGATTGGTCTGGTTTGGGGGCCCAATATCATATACTTTCATGGGGTCCAAAATCTCTAGCGGCGCCCCCTATCTGTAATTATTACACGCCCTCAGTAAAAATTTAGGAGTGAAATATCTGATGCATTTCAGTGAACACGGATCGCTTACGGTAATAGTGATCCAGGGTACTGAGTCTTCCTCATAAACAACACACACCTACAGCCTTTTTGCAGCAAGTTTTACAGTAGCTGCTAAACAGCACAGCCAGGGGAGCTTCTAGCTATTCAAAAGACCAGGGGCTAAAGTATTCGGGGTTAGGCGTAAAATACTTGGGGCTATAGCCCCAAATGATCAGACCTGACGACGCCCATGAGTAATGCACTACTGAATTCACTGCTTTCTAAGATACTGCATGGTTGAGATGGGAGAATGTTCAGTTTTTGTGTTTCATTAGTATGTTAAAGAGACAGGTCACCTAAAAATGACAATTCTGTTGTTATTTGATCTTTAGATGTGCGAACTCTGACGTTAATATCTGGACGGGATTCGTTTTATCTTTGCTACCTCTGGTGATCTGGACCGTTACTGATCCCAGGGGGAAATTCAACAGAAAATGCATAAAGTGCATATGAATAGGGGCTATACATGTGCATGACGGATCAAGTGCAAAGACAGCACACATAAGGTATGACCAAACAAAAAATACACAGTACACAAATAGAACTTCCAGAAAAACACAATATTGGAATATTATATAATATATTATCATTAATAATTACTATCAATTATAAAATCGTTAAAATAAAATGTTGGTAATATTGCGAAATTACAATTTCCCACAGTCCTTTCTTTCAGCCCCCCCAGGGCAGCCACAGCCCGAGTGATCAGCGCCCTTTGTAAGGCGTTAAGTCGAAGAGACTAAAGTGCGTAGCCTGAAACGTCGAGAGACAAGGCCACCGCTGCAGATCACTGTCTGCCACTGACAGCTGTTCGTCCAGACTGGGGCCCAGCAGGAGCTGGCCGTTCCCAGTGGCACTGTAACCCCCCACCCCCCCGACCCCAGTGATGTACGACTGTGTGGGGGGAGGCGTCATCTAAGAGGAGTGACTGAGATGAAAGTACAAAATAATGAGATGGACACCCTGCCAAAAGTTGAATTTTAACCTCATTATACACATAAGATTTTACTGGAATTTAAAGGAACAGCAATATGCCTACATTTAACTAATATCTTTAATTAATATACACCTATCTTGTTAAGCATAATATAACTCAGTCCTGTAATTTTTACATAGATCATTATTATTAAAATGATTATTGTCCGTCTTCCAACTGCTTATTCTGGACAGTGTTGCAGGAGCCCTGGAGTCTATCCCAGGCAACAGAGGGCACAAGGCACGGGCACAGAGACATGCAGGCAGGCTAATTGGTGTCTGAGTTGCCTGCCGTGTGTGCATGCGGCTTGTGGGCTGCCGCTCCATCCAGGGTGAGCCTGTGCCGTCTCTGACCTTGTCTTTAATTATGGTCAATGTATTTTTTATTAAATATTTTTAATGTAGACCTAGTCATGCTTTCTTATATAAAAAAAAAACCTGGCCTGTTGCCTCTTTCTTATGTATGAGGTATATTATAATTAAATGCAACTCTATGAGTTATATTACATTTTGAGATATTTAATTTAGGCTTACTTAACGGCAGTCTTAAATCTGAACATTTTATTTGGCAAGGTTTGAAAACAAAAAAAAAACTGACCTCCTTGGATCTTAAACTTCTGCAGAATAATAAAATGATATTTCATAAAGGCATTGCTCACGTTAATGACAATCACAGAATCAATCTGTACCTTGCAGAGGGAGATGGGGGTGTTCTGGATCTGATATGAGAACAATCTTGGTTGAAGGAAATCGAGGCTACTTACCAGGGTTAGGGCCATTTATCAATTCCAATTCAAATCAGGAAATTAAAGTGGAGTTGGAATTAAAATTTCCCTATGAAATTCAAATTCAATTCCAATTCTGTTCCCCATATTTTTTTCCAATTCTAACTCCAGTTCCATTTGCTGAACTGATAAATGCATTCCGGAATGGCCCCAACCCTGCTGCGTATCACTGGCTCCCAGACCCCTCCCGCCATTACCAGTTTGTTAAGGTGTTTTATACAGTGCTGGTATTTACAAAACACTATAGGTTGAGGGATGCTGCTCCTTATTACTAATCCTTGAGATCAAAATTGCAGCCTTTGGAGCAGATATTGTCATCTGAGAAGAATGTGAAAATTCCATTATCGATCCTAATATATTGCTTCTTCATTCAATCAAAAAATGATTGTTTTCACTTTGAGCCAGCAGACTGCAAACAGGAAACAGAGACGTTTGCTCTTCTATTCTGTTTATGCAACACCAGATTTATCAGAATAACAAGTAAAACAACTGCCTTGTGTAATGGACTGCATCTAAAGATTACTGTTGCAAACAAAATACGGGAAGTCTTCTGTTTTTTAATCACCAAGTAGGTTGAAAAGGCATCTAGAAGATTACCTAAGCATGCAATGTGTCCTACACCCCAGCAGACTCATGCTGTGTGTGAACTTTGACTTGACAACAGATAGTCCAGCAGCACCCCAGACAACAAAAGGCCAAGCACTACTTATCACCTAAGAAAAAGTGAGTGGAGTACAACAGCAGCACAAAACAACCCAGCTCCATCATCTGGTATTCTATTTCCTACCATTCAGACTGTGCTACAGTGCTGTAATTCCAAACCACATAAAGGTCACTAAGTGGTTTAGTGGCCAACAGTCTGTGACCCATTCAGCTGAACTTCACAAACATCTGCTTCACTGAGTCTGCCTCTCTGCCAGCGCTCGTCAGTATAAAGCCGCTGCGATCAAAGGACAAACGTCATTGACTGCTCTTTAATCGTCGGAAAAGTAAATATTCTTTTTTAATCGCTCAAAAAATTAAATCGATTATGTCAGTTTTAGGAAACATTGAAAAGAAACAACTTGATACTTTATTTATAGTGATCTTTAAAAACCGGTTTAAAGACATTCAGTTTTATCAGTCAGTAAGGAATAGGCCTGTATTGGAGACAAACGTGTTCAGTGGCATCGCTCTTACATCTGATTTAGTCATAAGTAGCTTTGTTTGAAGACATTTGTGCAATTTCCTAAGCATTTTAACTTTCGAAACGGGAACGTCCTAAAATGACGCGCGTCCCGTGTTCAGAATCCGCTTTTAACGCGCTCTCCTTTCATTGGAATTGTACGATAATCCCTTAGAAGTGCTGGCAGTTCATTTGTTGTGACGCGATGGGTGCAGCTCCCAGCGAATGGGTGGAGGGCGGAAGGACGGAGGTCGTTTTATTTAAAGAGCGGAGCTGCGGAGCTTCAGTGAGGCGCGTGTGTTTGACGGTGGCGCCTCCAGAAGCAATACGAAGGCGCCTTATACGTTTAATATGGTCTCTGCTTGACGGTGAAAGGTCCCTTAAGTTGATGCGCTGTAATTATGTATATTTTTTTCTGACAGGCAGGCTAACAAGTTATCCATCTTCAATTTCATAATCTATTAAACACTAGATCTCTAATTTCATAAATTAAGAACATCTAAACATCAGTGTTATAATTTTAACACTATTTTAACTCGACCGAGTTTAGTGGTTCGATGATGAATAGATTGATACATGTTTGAAATTTAGAAACAGAATTATTGTTACACATTGAAACTTCTGGCTATGGCTAAATTTTCTTATACATTTTATTATCCATTTTCCGAAGGCTAATCCTGGTTATGGTCACGGGGACAGTTTATTTTAGTTTCTCCTCCACAAAAGCTGAAAACAATTCGTCTGTCCTGTGATGCAAGTAGCTTCGATTTTTTAAAAAACGTAGTATAAATATTTTTTAGATCTTAATTTGTTAGCGTTGAGGTGTTAAGATCAATATACATTATCCTTTGAACATTTATCGTTGATGAATACGGCAAACGCTCAGCCACTTTACTGTGACGTTATTCCGTCCGTCCGATCACAAATATTATGTTCGGCTATAAGGAAAAAATAGTTTCCCAAACTAGCCTAACTAACGCCCACCTGAAAATGCAACGTTCGTATCTGTCTATACTGCGTCACTTTACAGACAGTCCCTGTGTTTCAAATACATCCCAGCATGCACTGTGTCCTTAACGGCTTCATACCATAGGACCTCATTGCCGGGTGGCTGCAGGCCGAAAGGATTCAGGAGGCAGGTAGCCGGACCGGACCGAACTCGCCCCATCTCCCTTATTCGACCGGACAGCCACACCGACTCCGGCACCGGACCGCGGCAGCCCGGGTGCTCCAGGCGGCTCAACGCCGGCGGCGTGGACCGCATCTGTAAGGTCAGGAGCCAGGACTGCGTGCAGGGACAACAACGGACCGAGCAAGGCGAACCGGGCAGTTTGCTGATGGATGTGGACTTGGCCGGTACCGACCTGCGAGCCATGGCCGAGTCTCTGCAGCCTCAAACTCCCAGCCGCCACGAGAAGAGCCTGGGACTGCTCACCACCAAATTTGTGACTTTGCTTCAGGAGGCGAAGGACGGGGTTCTCGACCTGAAAATAGTAAGCGTGTAATATTAGCGGTTTTATACGTACAAACACTTTCTGAATTCAGATGCTTTGAAAGTTTGCTGTCTGTATGTCCGTATACGCCTGGGATTCGGTTCTGAACAAGTAGATAGCGCGTATATACTGGTGATCGTAGTCCAGTTATTGCTTGTAAAGTTGGAATGTTTTGGTTCATTGATTTGTCACGTATCCCCTGCTGGGACCCACATTTTAATCCGAAATGAGCTTGACTCATTTTCGCGGAGGTCAGATGGGCAGTGTGAGTCCTGGATGTGGGTTGACGATCCCGATCAGAGCGGTGGCCTGTGACAGGTCTGATCCCGGAATACCCTCGGGGCTGCGGGCGCCTGCTTCTGCGTAGCCCATCCAGCTCACGCCACTATAAGCGATGCTTTTAAAGTGCAGTGTAACTGCAAGGGGGGCGTTTGCAGGATGCATTTGTCGACGGTGGCAACGCTAAGCCCTTTCAAAGACTAAAGCTCGTGTTAGCGGACCGTTGTTGTCCAGGACTGTTTGAATGGGGATTTCCATTGATTTCGGTTTTGGGAAGGATTAGCCATGCGAATGAACTTATTTTAAGTGTGTTTTGGCAGTTATTGTTCTCTCACACCTTCATGGTTGTCCCTCCCCATTGTTTTACCTTTGATTTATGAATGTGTTATCATTCTAATGAGCTAAGACTTTACTTCTCAGCAAAGTCAAATCCCAGGTTTTCATTTCGCTTTCCAAGCAGTCGGCTGTCTTCAGGAATAAATGGCAATAAACCAGAATCTTTTGTTAAACATTATGCTGTGATAAGACCTACTGCCCTGCCCTGCCAGTCCTGCCCCTTTTTGCACTTACCTTGGTCGGCCGTTCCCCCACTGCCTGTGGTGTCCTCTGAGTTCTTAGCTTGATTTTGTGCTGCAGTGAGTTTTGTGGTGTTATTGGGCTGTTTTGTTTTAATTAGAAGCCTTGCATCTATCTGTTAGGCCCCAGTGAAATGTGTTTTTGTCCCCTTTTAATGATCCCAGGTGACACTGTCTGCAGCTTTCCTGGCCGTACCTATTGCAGGGATGATGATCTCGTTGGGGGTAATGAAAGTTGCGCAGTACTGCCCTGGCGCCTTGGCTGCTCGGTGCTCTGTCATCCTGGTCTCCGCTCTGCCTGCCATGATAAGGCCTCCAGCTACCAAACTTGACCCACTTGTCACTAATGATTAACCCTCCCCCGTCTCCTAGCTGCCCCTTCATGGGAAACCCTCCCTAACGCGTTTGATGTCTGTTACTTGGTCTTGAGACGGGCGTGTCAGAGGTCACGTCTGAGTCTGCCTGATGTTCTCCCTTTGAGATGGATCTGAGCCCGGCATATGTACTGCGTGTTTGTCTATGGAGACATACCCATGGCAGCTGCCGAGACTTTGTCGGCCTGTGCATCTCTGCGTAACTTCGTCAAAGTTTTGTGTGCAGTTCAGGTACTGTTTTCCTAATTGTGTGGAATATAGAGAGTTATCTTATATATGAAGTCTCTTTATGAAAGACTCGACTATAGAGCGCTTCTGGGGATTTTTTGAGGGGACGGATTTTTTCTGAGCGGCGTTACGCAGAGATTCTCAGTAAAGCCTTGCGGCGTTTCCCGCGCGAAAAGATACGCAGCGGTTGGTGCGAAACCTCCCTCAGCTGCACACAAAGTGAGCATTGAAGCGTCACGCTGCTCGCTGTAGGAGTCTCCACCCGCGTGTGTGAGAGTGAGCGGGAGGCGCCGGCACAGAGAGACCCTTTGCTGTTATGAACGTTTATCATGCCGGGACAGCAAACGGAATTGAACTTGAGTTATTAGAGTAGATAGTGACGGAGATTGATGGAGGGACTTTCCCATCTGCCGCTACTGGGCTTCTCATTGTCTCTGCTGGTAAGACACGGACTTCCCGCCCTGCCACTGTGTTTAGGGTCAGTCGGGGTAGGTCGCGTGCGCCATGCCGACCGCACTGTTACGTCCCCTTCATGGGACGCTTTAGCAGGCCTCTTCTTGGAGCCCATCTGGCTCTCTTCTGCCAGGTTGCCTCAGCAGGCCTCATGCTAACGGGCCTGTAGGGGCTGAGGGAGGGGGGGCTTTAGCTGACAGCTGGCATGTTTTTTTTTTGTTTTGTTTTTGCCCCCCACCCCCACCCCCCCAAGCCTCCCTGTCTCAGAGATACAGGAATGCGTGGCTTTGCCACACAGGCTCATTAATGCCCCTAAAAGTCCCCTAGAAGTTACTCTAGGCCGTGGAAATGCAAGGGCAGCGTCCGATACGATCATCCAGATTACCGTCACCTGAGTGTCTCACTTTTAAATAGTTTGAACTCAGTATGCTTATGGTTTAATGTAAGTTCCCAGAGAAATTATGACAGTAATATGTAATATTTCTTTATTTGAACAGTTGAACCCATATGGTGTGTGTGTGTGTGTATGTGTATGTGTGTGTATGTGTGTGTGTATGTATGTGTGTGTGTATGTATGTATGTATGTATGTATGTATATCTCCTCCTGAGACCCAAGGAAAAAAGTGTGCTTCAGTTTTAAGTTAATTGTGATTTTCTATGTCTTTGGAGGAAATAAGACATCTTTTTTCATTTTTATTTTTAATTTCACAGCATGTCCTCTTTAGTGTACAACAGGAATACATACGTTTCCTTACGTCAGTGAAAAGATAGATGCAAAAACAAAATGTCCACTGCAATAGACATAAATGAATGGGTGGGGTATCAGGAGGATATAATACACACAAGTGCTTTTTCATTATGAGAAAAAAAATGCACAAGTGTCATTTCTGTGGATGGGTCATTGAATACACAGGCTGTTGTGTGAGTGTTCGTTTATGGAGGTGCTTCTCGAAGTGTTGCCCCATTTCTGCATGTTTATTGCTGTCGTGTGATCAGCACCCTATGAAATGACATTCTTGAATTACCCTCAACGGTTTGTTGAGTTGACCATTTTTCCCAGTCATTGCAGTATTGTTAATTGTGTTCAGTATGCAAAAACCATATAGTTTATATTTGAAGCTTTTTTCCATTTAATAGCTGAGATCAGGAGACAGTATTGGGGTGCACATCAGCAATGTCAAAAACCTAATTCTTCATATTTACGTTCTCTTGTCCTACACTGATTAGCTCATTCTCAAGAGTTTAGTTAATTCAAACTCAAACGTAGTGATTTTATCAATTATAAAGGAAGAACAGTGATATGTGAATATCGCGTTATCAGGCACGGCTGTAGATCCTGAAATCTTGAATCAACATTTTAACATTTTCTAAGTACTAAATGAAAGCTAGGGTGCACTTTGAATTAAAAAAATAAATAAAAAAAATTCCGTCCTGCCTCGTCAGGAATATTTTGAGGCCGTCATGATGCCTGGCTTTGCAAACAGCAGGCGTGATTTGTGAGTAATCCTGTGCTTCTCCCAGGCTGCAGACACCCTTGCCGTCAGACAGAAGAGGCGCATATACGACATCACAAACGTTTTGGAAGGTATTGGTCTCATCGAGAAGAAATCCAAGAACAGCATCCAGTGGAAGTGAGTCCCAGGCTGCTGCTACGTGTAGAGCTTCACTGAAGCATGCGGATGATTAAGTTGGATGATTAAACTAGTAGTAGCAGAGCTTTATTAACATCTCAACCATATTAAAAGTATATTAAAGTAGCTGGTGTAGGGCGGCAGACTATCATGCCTGTACTGGGGCAGTTGTTCAGTGTTATTGGGGGGGGGGATTCTCTGTATCCTTGGCTGGATGTTTTTTCCCATGAATGTGTGTGCAGCATGTAATCTGCTTGGGGCTGCATGATGCAGGGGCGTCGGTCCTGGCTGCAACACACGGGAGATCACCGACAAGCTGATCCACCTGAAGGCCGAGCTGGAGGACCTTGACCGGCGGGAACACGAGCTGGACCAGCAGAGGGTCTGGGTGCAGCAGAGCATCAAGAACGTGACAGACGACACGCAGAACAGCAGATATCCTTCACTGCCTCGTCTTCCACAGGGGTGCAGGGGTACAGAGCTCAACTTCTACCCAGAATACTGTTGACAGGAGTCGTGTAAGAAGTGCATGCAAGATGAAGATTGTTTGTGAGGCAATAAATCTATTAGGGCTCCTGGCTTGAATAAAGATTCTTCTAGAACATTCTTCTTGGCCCTGCTTAGTGCCAGGCTGGAGTAGACCTTGGGCAAGCGTTGTAGGAATGGGATGCCACAGAATTGCACAACATTTGGCCCTTAACTCAGACACACGCAGGCGTATGTTACCCACGATGACATCTGCAGCTGTTTTAAAGGTACGCTGCCTGTTCGGGGCTGAGTGCTCATGCACAGCTGATGGTCTAAGCGTGCTTGACCTGAATCCTTCTCTCTCTCTTGCACGTGCCCAGGTGATACACTCTTGGCCATTCGTGCGCCCTCAGGAACACAGCTGGAGGTGCCCATACCAGAGGCTGTAAGTGCTTTTGTATATCCTGATCTTGTCAAAGTCTTTTTTTTATTAAAAAAAAAAAAAAATCAGTGCTTTTCAACCCAGTACCCAGAGACCCCCCAATAAGTCCACATTTTTGCTCCCTCCCAGTGCTGAGCAAACCTGTAGCAGGTGTGTGGTGTTCTCATTGGATGGGAGCTGGGCGGGAGCAAAAATGTGGACTTTTGGGGGACCCTGAGGACTGGGTTGTGAAACACTATTTTAAATTGCACTTTCCCCCCTACTCTTTTAATTACTCCTGCAATAATGTCCCGTATTATATGTGACTCACACATAGATATTTCTTTCACTACTGCCCCCATGTGGTGTGTCTCCCTCTGTTTTGCTGTCTAAACGCCACCTCTTACCCTTCTGTAGGTGATGAATGGACAGAAGAAGTACCAGATCCACTTGAAGAGCACGTCTGGCCCCATTGAGGTCTTACTGGTCAACAAGGACACGTCGGGCTCAGCTCCCGTGGTCCTGCCCGTCCCACCTCCTGAGGAGATGTTCCAGAGTCTTCCGACTGTAGCTGTGCCAAAGCCGGCTGCCCAGCCTGGGACTCAGCAGGCCACGCCCCCCAGCAGCCACAGCCCAACCGCAGCCTCTCCCGCATCGACGCCCGCCCCCGCCATGCCCACCTCGGGTATGAATTTGGCCGGCCTGGGCTGGGATCCAGTGGCGCATTTTTTACTAAAAGACATAATTATTGAGTCTGCATTCTGTCGTAGTGTCTCCCCAGGCATTTCATTTCAGTCAGAGTGAGCGCTGTTTTCTCTCCCTTGTGACAGAACCTTCCGGAAACAGCACTTCCCTGGATCCAGCTCCTGAAGTCACAGTAATGGATCACACCCAATCACTGGAGACACAGCCCTTGCAGTCGTCCGCGTCTCTGGACAATGGCTCGTCCATCTCGCCGTCCGTGGAGGTTTTCGAGCCCATCAAGTCTGACCCGTCGGAATGTGAGTTTCTCTCCCATGCTGTGCTACCCTTCCGCCTGTACAGTGTGGGGGATCTCCGGGGCTTTCGATGTACATTAGGAAGCTATTTTGAATATAAACTGTCGTTTTGCGCCACTGAAGCTCTAAATTTCACCAGTCACCGGGGGAGGGGGGCACAGGGCTGTGGTTAAAGTACAGTGTGCGTCTGGCGTTATCTGTGCCAGTGGTATAACCTGCACATCTGTTTTACGAGAGAGCTGTCGTAGGGCTGATACTGAACTGTAGGCAGCAAGGAAGTGTGTGTGTGTGTGTGTGTGTGTGTGTGTGTGTGTGTGTGTGTGTGTGTGTGTGTTGGCTTAGAATGCACTATGATGCACCATGGGTGTGCATCTGGGACAGCTCAAGGTATGCAATGAGTATACTGTTGGTGTCAGTTTCGTCCCCACCAGAGAGGCTGTGTATGCTGGGATGCTCGTTCGCGATTCCGCTGCCGTCTAGGGCTCACAGATGTGTGAAACATCTTCCTGCGTAATTGCATAATTAGTCACTCTTCTGCTGCTCTTGCATCCGCATTGCAAGAACGCCGACTGCTCTTCATTTTCTGTATTGAATAAACTGATAGAATAAGGGGGCTGGCTGCATGTGTAAGTTTGGCAGCGGAGGTTCTGTGTGTGTGAGAGAGATGGGGGCAGATAAGGTCGGCGTCCCCCATCTGCTGGGAGGTCTCCAACGGTCTGCCTGCCATGTCCCACGGGAATCTGCAGCCGAGTGCTGAGCTCACACCTGGGCCTGTACAGTGGGTCCTGTGGCTATAGAAGAAAGAAACTGATGCATGCAGTAAAGAATGGGAAATTACAGCATCACTGCCAGTTTGGTCATAGCTGTACTATTTCGAACACCAAGCACTGAGTTTATGACATGACATATGACACACACACATATATACACACACATACATATACATACAGTGGTACCTCGGTTCTCGAACTCTCTAGAACTCGAATGTCTTGAAAGTCGAACAAACCAGTTTGACCTAGAACTCGATCTGAATATCAGAAGTCGAACCGTGAACGCCGACCTAATATAAATTGTATGCGCCAGGAAATGAGTCATACTACAATGCAATTCTTACTTGAATGCCTTCTTCACAGACTGGACGATTAACCAAATAAAGCAGAGCAACATTACAGTAACTAACAATAAATAAACCACTAACTTACGTGTACTATTACAGCATTTATGTAATTCATTTAAACTTTACCAGGTAAATGAACTGAAAACCAGTTCTCACTGCTTTCCGTGATATTCGGGAGAAATAGCAGATTACGGATCGGAA